TCATTTCAATAATATTATTCTTATCACCCACTACTTACACCAAAATAATTACATGCTTTCAGCTTATATTTAACAATCCACGAGTCTAAGCTCTAACAACAATAAGAGCAATTATACCATGCCATAACTCTAATGCCATGCCATACACATCTTCATTCTAACTCAAATCTCTCAATTTACCTATGACCAAATTTAAGCTCACTTCTGCTTTGAGATAGTAACTCCTGCCAAAGTCCTTCAAAGTAACAAACCACGATCTTCAACCCTGCCGCGGTGAATAAAAATCGGACCGCGCTGAAGTAATCAAACTCAGTGGTTCCGTTATACCTCCTCACATACTAAACCAAAGGTGCGATGGCAACTAAACCTTCAAATATCCAATATTCATTAAAGCATTGGGATACTCATAGAATCAGTAAAATTTTTCGACTATGAATGTCTCTTTGTAGAAAACGATAAACTTCTAAACTCATAAAGCATAATTAATCTCACTTCTGCTCATAACTCCTATTCATGAACCTTATAATTAACACATTATGAACTATCAGTCGGTCTTACCCGTGCTGTTCATTGGTGTGTGTCTGGCGATGATAATCAATAAATAGTTGTTAAAGAATACATTAAAGTATATGCTTCAGTCTGGTCTTACTTGCTATTCATTATGCATTTGGTATGGACTTAATGCCCCTTATTACGTCACAATCAGTATGAAGGTATGCCTTCATAACAACTCCATGACTGTAATGGCTTTCTTAAGAAATTAAAATAAATAAACTTGTGGGGAGCATATATAACATTATAGCTTTTCATCGATCTTACCCTGGATGTTCTTTATACTGTACCTGAACTCCTGCAACTTGATTAAACTGCAGTGAGTATCAACAATGAATGAAGAAAACATATAAAGCACATACAATATGTGGAAAATAAACTACATCCAATTTACTCGGCATACTGGCAATGTAAGCACACATATCATGATAACTCGTCATGTTCCACCTTGATGATCTTTGCTTGCTGTAGTAGTATACTGTATTGATTCATGGCAATGTTATGTCAAAGATAGTCTGCTATATGGGCTCCATAAAGGGTTATACGTGAAACCTCCAGTGATACAGATAAACCTGTTATGAAAACTGGGTGAAACTTGTATGCTATAGGCCCCGAAACCGGAATCGCCTATGCCAATAATGTCCGTTTTGGGGTGCCCCTAACCGGATTTGCACCCGCAGCACGGTTTAAATCCATATCCACTCAAGCGGCCTGAGCCGGGCAGTTCCAAACTGGTATGGGGCGCCAGATGGCCCTGCTCTTTCTGCAAGTGTCGGGGCGACATCGCCTTATCCTAAGATGGTTTTTCTCCTCCCTACACCTCAATGGAGCTTATTATGTACATACGTACCCACCTAATAATAACCCATAATACATAAATGGTTGGCATACTATCATATTTTCATCATGTTTGATTTGATTTACACGATCATATGAATCGCTTGTATGTTTGCTTTGTTTCATCCAATGTTTTATGTTGGTCTTTTTTGGTTGAAAAATGAATTGGGGATGCATGGCCAATGTTGAGCAAAAGGACAATGTAATTACATAGCAAATGAAAAGGCAAAAGAGTGTCAAAGCATCATCGCGAGCGGCGACATTCACAGTCGCGAGCGCGAGACTGCTTCGCCAGAGCAGAAGTGCAGCGGCGATGGCTGTTCAAACGGCTCGCGAGCGCGAGAAATGCATTTGAAGAGGTCAGAGGGTTATTCTTGGCGCAAGTCGGCGATCGCCCCGTTCTCGCCGGCATCGCGCAGCACAAAGTCCGCGAGCCGCGAAGATCGAAGTTCGCGGAGCGGCGCTTGTGGTGATTCGCGAGGCACCGGCCCGAGAATGCGCACACTGGGGACAGAGTCTAGAGAAGACTTCTGGCCAAACAAGTCTGCGACGCCGGTGCATGTTGGATGCCTCGGCAGAGGCGGCGAGTTGTGGCATTGGAGAGGGTCAGAGAGCTACTCGCTGAACTCAACGGTCCGCGAGCCGGCGGCCAATAGGAAATAGCGAGCGGGCGACCTTGCTTTCCAAGAATGCCGCGACCGCGGCGCGGCACGTGATTCTGTGCAGTCTGTATTCTTCTTGGCCATAACTCTCAATAGCTAACTCCAAATTGATGATTCAAGCACGCCCATGTAAAGCTAACACCAGAACAGGAACAGAATAACTGCTTCTATGAACAATTCCTAATTCCACTCACTTACTGGGGGTCAAAATCAGAGATGAAGTTGCCTGGTAAAAATTTCCAAGCAAACTCCTGGTTCATAAACTTCATTCCAATCCCCTGTTTTCAGCAATCCATTTTCTAATGCCCTCTCACGCCACAATTAGCAGACATATGATTGCTCAGTGAGCAAGCACTCCAGCACAATTTTTCCATGGCAAAGAACATGGGAAATAACAAGAGATAAATCAAAACCTTGGTTTCAAAAAGCTGGGACTCTGTTTTAGCTTTCTCTTTTTCTGCAACTTTTGAACTTTCTTCTTCCTATAGCCACAACGAATTCTCATAACTCATCTCCAATATAACTCAATGAAATAGGAAATAACATGCGCAACCTTCCAAGGAATTCTACTTACCTTTGCAGTTGAACTTACATTGGGCTTACTTATGTTCGACAAGTATGCGAAAAGAAAATGGGCGGGACAAGTAAAGAAGAGAATGATAAAACACATGAAAATAGGAAAGTGAAACTGATAAGAAAAACCGGGTAGCGTCTCTAGAAGAAGTGAGTTGGCTGTGTCATATCTTAATTGGAGTACCGCCTTCCCCCTTCGAGTCCAAGTTGTAACAAGGCTACAAACTTCATACCTCAACGCTGTAATGTTTAATGGCAAGCAAGTCCTAATTTACATTCACATAAGTCCACCTTATACTCTTCATTCCTCAGAGCCCCCAAACAAGGGTTTGATTCAACCCAACTGCACTTACCTCTATGAAATGACTGCAAACTCACCTCACTAGGATGTACATTCTCTCCTGCCTTTCACCATCGACCTCTCCTTTCTTCTCTCTTTTTTCTTCGCCCCTTTTACCTTTCAAACGTCTCCTTCTCTAATCTTGGTCATCTTGCCATGGCTGGATAAGCGCAAGAATAGCTGCAAAGACATACACAACAAACGTCGATAAAACAATCAGTGCTCAAAGGACAGCACTTATACTCTCATTCTACCCCAACAAGGTTTGATTCAACCCAACTCAACTTACCTCTATGAAATGACTCAACTCAACTCACTAGGATGTTACATTCTCTCTGCTTCACCATCGACCTCCCTTTCTTCTCTCTTTTTTCTTCCCCTTTACCTTCAACGTCTCCTTCTCTAATCTGTCATCTGCCATGGCTGGATAAGCGCAAAGAATAAGTGCAAAGACATACACAAACAAACAGCTCGATAAAACAATCAGTGCTCAAAGCACAGTGCCTCTTCATTTCTTCTTAGATTGGGCAAAAAATTTGGGAGTTATTTACCAAAATTCGCCACCTTTTTCTTCATTTTACCTCTCTTTCTATCTCTAGATCATTTCTTATATAATATATATTTAGCTTCTTGAGCACTAACTGATGGCTTCTTGATGGATATGATTTTTGGTTTTTACTTACTATTTGATTAATTTATTGGAATATTTATTTTTCTTTTTTCTTATTCATGGTTTTGATTGCAAAATGTGGAAATTTTATTTTCTTAGGTTAAACAAAATCTTTTTCTTCATTTTTGTAAATCAATAGTTAGTTTATTGCTTAAGAATAGAGATGACTATGCTTTGGTTTCAAACCGGAATCGAACCGAAACTGAACTGGTTAAAATTGCACTAAACCACGGTCAACAGTTCTGATTCTAAAACTGTAATCAAAATCGTGAACTTAGGGTTCGCTTTCGGTTCTTCATTTTTTAAAACTAAAATCGATAGTTCCGATTTCATGAAAAACATATTCTTAAAGGAACTTCTAATTTATTTTTTTATTATATTTTTTTAAAGTAATTTTTAAGAAATTATTATTAAATTAGTTTAGTTTTTTTAAAAGTAATATTTATCATTATTATTATTTATTCAAACTATAAATCTTTAAAAAATATTTTAAAAAGTTTAAAATATATTATTTAATTTCAATTTGAAACCAATAAAAAATTGAAACGGACAATTTTAAAACCGTCGTCAAAATTGTCTAAAATTAGTTCGATTTCAATTTCACCTTTTTTATATCGGATCTAACAATTTTAACATAGAAACCGATAGTTCTAGAACCATGGTCACGCATACGTTCAGTTTAGTTTTGTAATTTTTTTTTTCAAAAGGGAAAAAAATAAAAAATAAAAAGAAAAAACGAGTTAGGGAGCAACGTGGCAAGATCAAGTAGGTTTGGCTGATGATCACAACCATTTAAGAAAAAGAAAAAATGGAAAAAGCCAAGTAAATACAACCAGCACAGAGTACTGTGAAAGAAAAGTTCTATTACTGGGGAATAAGAGAGAGGTTTGGATCAGAAAAAATGGCGTTGAGTGCGACGGTGATCGGAGCATTGCTAGGACTGGGCACCCAGATGTATTCTAATGCCCTTCGCAAACTCCCCTATATGCGCCGTACGTTCTTAACTATTTTTATTTTTATTTTTTTGTCTTTTTCAAGAACTGAATTAAATGTTTATGAATATGCAGATCCATGGGAGCATGTAATTGGGATGGGATTAGGAGCTGTATTTGTTAACCAGTTAGTGAAATGGGATGCTCAGCTCCAACAAGACCTCGATAAGATGCTCGAGAAAGCCAAGGCCGCTAATGAGCGCCGTTACTTTGGTACTTCATATCATTTCCATACTTTATTTTATCTTTTGCGTCTCAAATTGCAATTTGAAATGATGAATTGTGTGTATTCGTTAGGAGATATGGTAGAATTTTTATTGGAATTAGGTTTTTTTACAATCTTGATAATATAGGGGTTTTGCTAATTAAAGAAAATGATGTTTTTCCTCTTTGTATTCGTTTAGATACTTCATTTTTTCATTTGCCTCTGGCACATCACCGTATTGGTAATTGCAATTTGAAATGATAAATTAGGGGTATTTGTAAGAAGGTAAGGTAGAATTTGTTGGAATTAGGTTATTGACAATCTTGATTAATATAGGGTTTTGCTAATTAGTGAAAATAGATTATTATCTATATTCTAATGACAGCCAATGATGTGGAAGGAAATGGTTTAATAATGGCTGCTTCACAGAAATAGTTATAGAGGAAGGGGAAAAGTGGAATAACGGAAAGAGATTCGAATGAGAAAGAGAGATTGGGAGGTGATAATGTAGAACTAAAATGAGATGATGTAGCAAAAATGCAGCAAGGTATTTGGCATTTGAATATTTGGAAATAATATTGGTTTGACTATTTGGAAATAATGTTGGCTACCGCATGCGGAAAGGAAATTTAGGATTGCATTGTTGTTAACAAACGAGTGAGTTTTTACTTGGAAGGTGCAGCTGTGAAGTAGTTGGGAGCATGCACAAGAAGTCTAAACATCTAATGTGGTGGATAGAGTTTGCTAACTATCTTCTTTCAATTGCAATGTTATTATTGATTTTCTTTTTCACTCTACCATCCTAACGTCTTCCCTTTGCATCCTATTCCCTGAATTTTAGACAGTCGAGAATTGAAATTAAAAGAATAATTTACCTTTGATTCTCTCTTTTGAGTATTGTATGTCACCAGTTCTCTTTATCTATATCTTTGTCCTACTGCTACTAATTGATAATTATTGTAAAGAAATTGTTTCATTTGCTAGTGCATGTGGCTGTCACACCTTTGAACCTTATACTGCTTTTTTCATCCGTATGCTTCCTATGTCATGATAAATTTCCTAGTTGGATAAATTATCCTTATTTGTGAGCTTCAATATTAGTGTCACCTTATTAAAATGCAAAACCTTGAGACTTGCGCCCTGCTTGGTATAAATAAATTCAAATTGTATCAGGCATTTATAAATAAATTATAGGTTCAATTCATTTACAAATGAATTTTCATTGCTTGGCATACTTAACTTAAAATATTTAATTCAATTGAAATCCACTTAATCATGTTTGGAAAAAGTTCAGAATTGAAAATTCATTTGCTTTTATTTCCTAAAATTCCATTGACATAATAATTTTGGAAAGTTAAGGACGGATGGTTTTGTTAAAAAATATGGTTGTTTTGTTTTGAGGAATTCATTTGGTTCACCTATTTTAATTGGTTTAGTTATGTTTAATTCTATTGAATTGAATTTGTAGACTAAAATCTTCGGTTTTCTTTTTCATTCTAAACACAAAATTTTGGATTTCTAAATGAATTTCACAAAATTTTGTAGGACTTATTTATTCCAAATAATGGGTTAGATGTTATGATGTTTCAAGCAACTAAACAAGCCTGTAAAATTGTCTTACATGTGAAACAAAGAAAGGAAGTGAATTGCTTTGTTTTGCTGCTAGAAAGCCTGCAAAATTCTTGCTTTAAAAAGAAGTTTATTTCTTTTTTGTGCTTTTTATTGTTAGTTTATTATTTTGCTGGATGTTGATATATAAGCTGTAGTGTTTATGTTCACGAACCGTCTTAAGATGCAAAACATGTAAGCTTGCTCCTTCTATTTGAAAATTAGTGGTGTATTCTTAATAGCAGTTGTCCAGAAATCAGTGATAGTTCATAGATCACGGTGCAAATGCATCTTTTGTTCCTCTTTTTAATTTCTCCAATTGTAGTAATTCACCATTAAAGCTCATCTGTCTCTTTGTTTTTGATGGAGGAATAACTTCTGAAAATAAAGAAAATGATGTATTATGTTCCCCTTTACTATTTGTGCCATACACAAACTTGGCATTCATTTTATGATGAGGGATCATATCTTTTCTTGTAATAAACTATGATTCAATAAATTTAATGCTTGGATTGTCCTCTTCCCATGTATGTTCCTGGGTATGCAACATATTATTCACAGTACATGTTGATTTTTCTTGAACTTCCTCTAGGAGACTGTTATACCTACAATTATTCAGACTGGTCAGAACTTTTTTTAGGACTAAAGAAAATGAACCTATGTTACATTGTTGAAGAATAATTCAAGATTTTTATTTTTTATTTTCAGTTATAATGGATCAATTAGTTGAGATATTCTAGTGAAGTTTTGCTAGTAAATTTGTTAGATATAGACATGGGAATGATGACTCATGATCTCTTAATACTCTCTATTTAAATGGGTTTTTGGTGTGTATGAAAAGTACAAGTAATTGCAATAAAAAAGAAAGAAAGAAAAGAATTCTCAAAATTTCTGTTTCTTGTTTCTTTGTTCTTTATTTATTTTTTTTATTTCCAACATACTTTTGTGCCCAACAGATCGAGGTCCATTACAGTTATCTTTCTTTTATCATCTATCTTGAGTTTTGCTTATAACAGGACTGGACTTGATATAATTTATTGGTGTTATGATATTGGCATATGCATTCAAAACCATATTTCCCTGTGTTGACATGAACTAGATTTTTAGATATAACTTTTGGTTTCCTTTTTCAGATGAAGATGATGATTAGCTTACGTGTTGATTCTCTTTGCAACTTTTTGGACAAGGGGTTCCTCTTTCTGGAAAATTGTAGCCTCTGAATGACATTTATCATGGGCTATATACACTTGTTGGTTCTTTTTTTATTCTCTGTTGCTGAGCATGTAAGGTTGCTAGAACTTTTGTTAACTTGTACTGAAATGGCTAAAGCTGCACCTCAGATAATAATTGAAGCAATTGAGTGATTTTCTTTGTTTCAGTACTGTTTTTTGACGCAATTTTATCGCCTTCAAACTTTTAAATGCTTTCCATTAATTTTTCATGGGTTAGTACTGGTGCACCTATTCAAAGGTTAAACCACTTTGAAGTGAGTATAATATTCAGAATGTGGTCATGGTTATCATCAAGTGTTGCTGCAGTAGAATATGATTAATGATTATCAATTTCTTCTTGCTATATTTCTCCAGAGACCTTGGGACATAAAAGTGTGGATAATTAGAACAGTTTCCAGATACTTTTGTAGAGTAGAGAATGGCGCAGAAATCAAAGCAATTGTCTGAGCCCTGAATTAAGCCTAAGATCTTATATTTAATTGGAAATTCATTTGAGTTTATTTTCATTGTCATTCCAATTTCAAGTTGAAGGAAACAAAGTTGTACTCTCACTCCGTTCTTTTATACATATACAGGAAATACAGGAAAAATTTATATTTTGGATGTTCTTTTTATACAGAGAATTTTATATAATTTGGTAACTTCGGAAATAATATTTATATGAAAAGTCTATCTTACTTTTGTCTTAGTCCTTCGTGAAGCATTTAATGCGGGGGATTTTCAAGGTAATGACAGACAAAAAGTATAGATGGATGGATTGTTTTATATCAATTTATGATGAAAAGTAAGAAAAACAATATGTGGTTATAGGAGATATGAGCGCTAATTAAAATTGTTTGAACATAAAATGACCACAAATTTTTTGGTTAAGCATATTGAGAGGAATCCTTATGTATTTCATCCGAATTTTAAAAAAATTGTGTTATATTTAAAATACGTTTTTAATAACCAAATATGGTTGGAAGATTAAATAAGCATAAGTTTTTATATTTTTATACAATTTTTTCAAACAATAACTAAAAAGCATTTCCCTTTAAATTTCAGGGTATAAACTTTTCCTTTTTGCATCAAGATTAGAACGAAATTTTAGACGTATATTTGACATTAGATGTGGAATTAACATAGATGTGGAATTAACGAGATATTAGGAGTAAATTAGGGAAAACAAGATAAACAAAGTTGGTTAATCATTTTTTAAATCTTGGTGAAAATTTAATTATTCCTGTATAAAAGAAGGAAGAGTGCTTGTTTTCCATTAATTTTTGGCAGGATTAGTACTGGAGCACCTAAACAAAAGCTAAAAAATTTCGAAATAAGTAAATTCTTTAAAACAAATGTTCAGATTATCCACATGTTAAAGAGAAAATCTTGTGCAATTCCTCAATGCTAGTAAATATAGATACACCAAATAATGATAACAATTTCTACTCTTCTTTTCCTGAGTAGACAACATAATCAAAACAAGACTGTGAAGTTAGCGTAGGATCTAGAGAACTAATTAGAGGTCTTATTGTAAACTTCAACTTCACTCAAAATAATAATTTTCAACAACTATTTATAAGCATCCATATTCATCTTCTCAAAATCTGTCATTCTATTGTTGAACAAATGCAGGAGCAGATCGCAGGCTTCCCTCGATGATGGCCTCTCTCGTGGGCTAGTTTTAGTGCACTGCAAAGCAATTTCAAGCACTTGATATGCTGCAGCGTCTTCACCTGGTAATAATGGTTTCAATTCAGGATCTATCAACTCTTCGCGACTACACCCTTCCATTTCCATTTGCTTCTCTACCCATCTCACCATATCTATCTCAACACCAAATGATGCATCTGTTGGCATTTTTCCACTCACAAGTTCCATCAGCACGATTCCCATGCTATAAACATCACTCTTCTCTGTCGCCTTGAGCGAGTATGCGTACTCTGTGAACACACCAAATGTTAATAATGTATACATAAATATGGATATGAAGGAAATGAAGTCAAGGGAATCTATTGCAATACCTGGAGCAATGTAGCCATATGAACCAGCGAACCAGGAATTTGATTCTGTATTAGAGTCATTATCCTCCACAAGTGCCTTTGCCAATCCAAAATCCCCCAAATGGGCTTCCATATTCAAATCAAGTAATACATTGCTCGATTTGATATCTCTGTGGATTAGAGTTGGGACACAGTCATGGTGGAGATATTCTACTCCCTGAGCTAATCCGACAGCTATCCTTAACCTCGCCTCCCAATCCAGGCTTTTCTTCTTCTTGCTGTTAACTGGTTGTTGATGCAGCCAATCCCATACGCTTCCATTCTCCATATACTCGTATATCAACATATTAGAACCTGCTCCCTTGTTAGTACAATATCCGAGCAACTTCACTAAGTGCCTGTGCCTAATTCTCCCAAGTGTCTTTACTTCTCTTGTGAAACTTTTGTTAAGGAGAAAATCATCTTTCCACAGTATTCTCTTGACTGCTACTATTTCCCCAGTGTGCAATTCAGCTTTGTAGATTGTTCCAGATCCCCCTGAGCCGATTATGTACTCATCGCTTAAATTTTTTGTAGCTTCCATAATGTCTTCCCATCTGAAATCTCTCTTTGCAGTGCTGCCATTTTGGAAAAGTGGTCTCCGCTGTGCTTTTGAAGAAGTAGAAGAGTAAATGCAGCTTAATTCGCTTCCTCGTCTGAGAGACTCTCGCTTGTGTTTGAAGAAAAGAGCAAGTCCTAGTACAAGTATAGCAATTGCAGCTAAGGTAGTAAAAGCTGAGATTACTACCACAGTTGATTCGCTTAGGCCAGACCTTTGATTACCAGAACCAAACTCATCACATTGATGAAGAGGACTCCCACAAAGTTGCGAGTTTCCCTGGAATGCCTCTGCTGGCCAGTGTGAGAATTGCTTGCCTAATTTCCCTTGAAGATTGTTGAAAGATAGATCGAGTTTGCCTAGACTGCTCATTTCTGCAACTTGTACAGGGACTTCTCCAACAAGGTGATTGTGGGACAGAACAAGAGCTTCAAGTTTGGACAATGTTCCAATGGAAGGCGGGATTTGACCAGAAAGATTATTGTAGCTGAGATCCAACATGATTTGAAGATTCTTCATTTGTCCAAGCTCAACCGGTAATTCACCACTAAAGCTGTTATTAGACAGCCTAAGTTCATACAATTTATTTAGCTTACCAATCATCTGAGGGATTGGCCCTGACAATTGATTATGGTTAAGATTAAGCACATTAAGCACTTCCAGTTTTCCAATCTGAGCAGGAAGACTTCCATTCAGTAAATTACCATCAAGAGAAAGCACCAAAAGTTTTGAACAATTAAACAACTCCACAGGAATAGGTCCAAAAAACTGATTCGAGGAAAGCTTCAGCTCCCCCAACAAGGGCAACCTGCCAAGCCACAGTGGTATAGACCCAGAAAGAAGGTTGTTGTTCAGATCAATGTGGGTCAATTTAGTACACAACATAAGCTGAACAGGAATTGGACCCGTAAGCTTATTTCCTGATAGGTCTAATAGCGATAAGTGGAGAATTTTCCCCAATGTCCAGGGAATTCTCCCTGAAAAATTATTGTTTCCTAATCTTAACCTTTCAAGGAAAGGTGAATTCCCCAACTGGGGAGGAATTTCATGCTCAAATGCATTATCTGTGACATCGAATGATAGAAAGGACCTCGAGCTGCATAATGCGGAAATGCTACCTCTCAATCTGTTTTTAGACAGATTGATTCTGGTCAAGTTTTTTAAATTGGTAAGTGAATCAGGTATTTTACCTTCAAGAGAATTGTTATAAAGCATCAACTGTTCCAAATCCTGAAGGAATCCAAAACTTTCAGGAATTCCACCAGAAAGATCATTATCTGCCAAATCAAGAATTATCAGTTCATGACAGTTACCCAAACTAGAAGGAATTTTACCCACTAGCTCATTTTGCCTCAAATGGAGCAAATTCAATCTTTCTAACTTCCCAACTGAAATGGGTATTTCTCCACTAAAACGATTTCCAAAAAAGTCCACCATTTCCAAATTTGAACAATTTCCAATCTCCACTGGAATTTCCCCTGATAGCTGATTGTCATAAAGATACAAAATTTCCAAATTGCTCAGCATTCCAATTTCTTTTGGCAGATTACCTCGAAAATTGTTGTGATATAAAGCAAGCTCCTTGAGGTTGGAGAGATTTGCTATTAAAGGAGATATTGAACCCTCTAAACTGTTGTTATGGAGATAAAGATAGGCCAATTCAGGTAGTGAAAAAATTTCAATGGGTATTGACCCGTTAAGTGTGTTATTGGACAAATCAAGCTGTTGCAGGGATTTACAAAGGCTTAATTCTTTTGGAATTGGTCCAGAAAGTTGAATTTCTGCTAACATTAAACTCTCCAAATTAGTAGCATTTGAGCATATGTTTCTTGGTAAGACACCAGAAAGATTGTTGTTTGATAAAACCAAGTAAACAAGATTACCCATATCGCCAAACTCCTCTGGCACGCCTCCGGTCAGCTTATTCATAGACAAATCAAGATTCTGAAGATTACCCAGTTTAGCCATAGACTTTGGAATAGCTCCTTCAAGATTATTACCAAGTAAATTCAGATAAACGAGTTGACTCAGTTCACCGAGTTGACTGGGAATCTCCCCAGAAAGACTATTATTTGCCAGGTTTAGGAGTTGAAGATTCTGTAAACGACCCATTTCCACTGGGATTGATCCATTTAGATTGTTGAGAGCTGCTGTAAAGATTGTAAGGCTTGAACAGTTCCCTAACTCGGCAGGAATCGGTCCCTCTAACTGGTTCTGTTGCAGGATCAAATTTTCAACTCGGGTGAGTTGACCGAGTTGAGGAGGTATTGGACCAGATAGGCTGCACGAGGCCAAAGCAAGAGTCACCAAATTCGTAAGTTTACCAAAAGAAGTAGGAATAGGTCCAGTGAGTCCATTATCACCGATTCTCATGACTCGGAGATTACTGAGTCGACCGAGTTGAGTTGGAATGGAACCAGTGAGTTGGTTTGAGAACAAAAGCAAAGATTCCAATAAAGAAAGATTTGAAAGAGCAGTTGGGATGGGACCCATGAGATTATTAGAAGAAAGATCAAGATGGATTAGGTTCTGTAAATGACCCAAAGAAGGTGATATTGTACCAGATAATGAAGAATCAGATAAGTTTAGACTGACAACTCTAACCGAGTCATTAACCGAGTTGTTCATGAGCCCACAAGTAACTCCATTCCATGTACAAAAATTTGGGCTGCTTTCATTCCAATCATGCAAAACATTTTGTGGGTATTCGGTAAAAGATCTTTTCACTTCCAAAAGAACTGAAAATTCATTACTTTGACAAATAACAAAACCGAACAAAGAATGCATTAGAAGAAGAACATTAAGAACAGATAGAACCTGCTTAATACAAGCCATGTCTGTCTTCTTCAGTGAAAAAGAGTAACCAAATAAAGAAAAAAGGGACTGAAGATGGGTTATAAAGACATGCAAGTGTAAGTTTTTATTCATGGCGGTGGATTGCATGTGAAGGAGTTCATGGAGCTTAAAATGAGGTTTCTTGATTATTGATTACGGTGTGTTGGAAGTTGGTATAAATTTGCAGAGCGTTTTAAATAAGAGGCCTTAAAAAGGGTGACAATAAGAGATAAGAGAAGGTCAATGAATATATTTTATGCCATAAAAGAGAATATATATACTACTGGACTGTTCTATTGAGGTCGGAGACAGTATAGAAGGTGGCATGCAGGATTAAATGAAAGAGAAGGTCAAAACGGGTCAGAGATGGGAAAAGTTCGAGAAATGAGAGTAAATATAAACAAGAAAGTCAAAATATATCCAGAGGAATGAGAAATTTGTTTGGTTGTATTGATTTTGCTTTTTGATGGTCATTAACATTAAATATTAATATAATGGAATAATTGAAAACGGGATTGATGGTTAAAATAATTTGTGTATTTTCTCATACAATTTTATTTTTCTTTTCCGAATTATTAAATAATAAAAAAATAATCATAGTTTTTTTATAGTAATAAAAAAAATCAAAAAACAAAAATCAATATGGATAATAATCAAAATAAAAAGATTTCAATCTAAATATTTTATTAGGTATATGGATAGAATTATTAAACACGTAAATTGATTGTTGGATATACAATTAAATTTATTATAATATTTTAGAAAAAATAAATATAAGACTCCACTAAAAGAACTCCATATTTAGTAAATTTTGGGAGATGTTGGCTCCTATTAGCCCGTGTGTCCGTCTTGACTCCATTAACATTTTGCTAGAAAGAAAGGAAAAAGAATATCTGGAGAGAGTGGTTGGTGGGTGGGTTTGATTGAAGAAGATGAAGATATTTATTACGTATGGAGAAGGTACAGTAGTTACATGACAGACAAAAGAAAAAGATGATTGATGTGGGTTTGCTTGTTATAGTGTATTAGCTAAATTATTCAAACCCTAATAAGAAAGTGAGGGGTTAGATTTCTAATTTAATTCCCTATATATTTGTAATTTAAAATGTTTTATAAACTCAAAGTTGTCATTCCTCACGTAATACCCAAATATCTGTCCCAATTGCATGTTTGTTCTATAAGCAATTACTCTCCCTTTGTCTATAAATATAAGTCGTTTTATAGTAATTTTTTTATCTACAAATATAAATCATTTTTTTCAATTTTCTTATATGTTCTATAAGCAATGTACTCTTCCCTTTTGTCTTATAATATAAAGTCGTTTTATAGTAATTTTTTATTTACCAAATATAAATCATTTTTTTTTCATTTTTCTTATATATAACTATATATATATATATTATATATATATATATATATATATATAATAAATTAATTATTAATACGCGAATATATAATAAATTAATTATTAATACGCGAGATAAAAAAGTAATTTAGTTAAATCATTAAATATTTTGTTATATTTTAGGAGTCCGTTATTTTTTTAATCACTATGTAAAAATGTTAAATGATTTATATTTATTGACGGAGGGAGTAACATTTTATACATTTATATTCTTATATTTTGGTTAAAGGCTTTTGTGTCATTATCATCAACTTTCAAAGGAGAATAATATAATGTTGGTTGTTAATTATTGTTTAATTATAATTAAATTCTTATATTGGGTTGAGCTACCAAACCCTAATGTCCTTTTTTGGCCTTTTATATCTTTTAATTGGTTCAAGTAACCCAATTGCCTAATCCAAAATACTCTACTTGACACCTTGTCCACTCAAATTATGAGGAATTAATTGGGCATTTGTTTAGTCATAACTAATTTTTCTTATACTCTTCTTTTGCTTTGCACAATCATGTTCAAACCTACTTCATAAATTATAGAATTTCTAATATTCTTCATTTTATGTGATGGCATATTTTTTTTAAAATATAAAATTTATTAATAATAATAATATCAAAAATTACAAATAAACATATAGACCAGACATAGAACATTGCTAGTTAATAGAGTTCGTTATCTTCTAATGAAAGAAAAAAATTCATATCATTTTGAATAATGAAATTAAAACTAAAAAAATATAATGTGAAGGCTTATTATTAATGTTAGTTTAAGCTAAAATTACGTTTATTTCTCCATTGGAGCTAGCCTTGATCTACAACTACCACTAGAATCAAAATTGGCTATTCAATTATGATAAGAAGAAAACAAAAATGAAATTATAGTCTAATCAAATCTTATCTTGTAGTAAACAATTTTCAAATATTTCACTCTTGTGCACAAAATTCAATAGGCCTGATGTGATTGAATAGAGAATTAAACAATGTACCCGAGAGAATATATTACCCGAGAGAATATATATTATATATAATAATATATATATATATTATATATTATTTCTTAATGTTTAAATAATACTTAATGTTAAATAATACTTATCAAATTTGAAATTTATATTTTTTTAAAAAAAAATTATTAAATTTATCAAAATTATAATAAGTTATTTAGTAAATTGACTCTATTATTCTTAATTTAATACTAATTTTTAAAAAAAAATCATTAAATTAAAGTAATAATTATTGGTCATATAGAAAGGGTAGATATAGAAAAAAAAATTTATTGCTCTTTAAAACTACAAATGTGACAAGTATAATGGAACATGGGGTTCCACAGGAACTTTTTAAGTAGTTATAAACATTATTATTTATGATGTTCAATAACGTAGTATTTGAATTAGCTTTTAAAAGTTAAGATAATGTTTTATAAAAGGTTAATCTATATAATATTTAGTTTTTAGCAGTTTATAAAAAAGCTACGCTACAAGCTACTTACAATTGGTTTATCGTTACGAGTTATTAAACTTTTATCAGATTGATTCTCTTTAATTGATTTAAACCAGTCAAAGAATTTTATCTCATTTTGGTTATTTAGTTGATATTCTAAATATTCATATTTTAATTTTTCAAAAGTATAAGTTTTTAAATTAGATATGGTGACTGTCTGTGCATTTGGCCGGGTCCCATGCCGTAAAACATGTTCTGAGGTACCGAGGATGGTCGCTGAAATATCCACGGTTTTATGGGAGACCGCTAGGAGGCATTTTGTTGGTATCAGAGCCAAACGATCTAAATAGTGTTTATCATCATCTTAGCAGTTTATTAAAACATCATTACTAATTAAATTATCCATTTGTGTTCTGTAGTGTTTGTTTTAAACATTATTAGTTCAAACGCCCGGGCGCTAGCCACCAGCGGGAGGTTGGCCTTGTCGAAGCAAGATAATGGTGATGTCTGTGCATTTGGGCCGGGTCCATGCCGTAAAAACCATGTTCTAGGTATCAAGGATGGTCGCTGGCTTGAAATATCCACGGTTTTTATGGGAGACCGCTGGGAGCCATTTTTGTAATATATATATATATATATATATATATATAGTATATATATATATTATATATCTCATCATATATCTCATCAATCAAGTGTGGCCTGATTAGTCTTCTCACGTCTTGTTGAAGATGTGGAGCTATCAGCCTTTTCAAGTATAAAAAAAAATAAAAATATTTAACTTACTCATCTCTTCACAATTTTTTCATGAACTAGTGTCAAGAACTTGAAAAGTTATTATGTTTCTTCTTTGTCTTTGTCTTATTTTATACCCTAAAATATCCCTTATCTTATAGATTTAAAATGATTTTTTGACTGCTAAATATTAATTAATTAAATAAACAAATAGCTATAGGCCTTATCAGCCACAAGTTGATGTAAGACAATAATGCTTTTGTTGATATTAATTTATTATATTTAATCTCTTCATGTGAACTAATTCTTTGTTCCACCTTTTCCCTAATCTCAACCCCAAAAGGTATAATTTTATATTAATTATTTTTTAAACTTTACAGGCTTCAAATATCTTTTGTTTTATACTTTTATTTAATGTTTATTAATTAAATTAAATTGCCTAATTATTTATTTGCTGTTGTTTATACAATTTTGGCTATAGCCATGTCTCTTTTGATGGCTGTTTGAAAGAATTTGGTGCTCATAATCATATTTATTGAACAGAGACAGCCTGTGATTATTCAGGATTTCTGTTCATAAAATTTATTAGATGCTAATTAAAGGTTTCACTTAGTTAATTTTAAAATTTATTTTTGCATTCTTATATAACTTTTTTTTTTCAAAAAGGAACTTTTATTATTAATCATATTCAATTATAAATAAACTTTAATTTAGAGATACTGAAGTTGTTATAAAATTTTAAAATTACGAGTTTAAATATCCAATTACATTCTAATTTACTAAAAAAAAAAAAATCAGACTCCAGCTGATGGTTGCTAAATATAATTATTCGAGTTTCAAACCGTCAATAATATGATGTAAAAGCAATTATTTATATATATCAAAATCAAGCATTAATTGGGACTATTTTTTTAATAAATTTAAGGTTTATTATTTATATTTAATATAGTCATTTAATAATTAATTTATTAAGTATATATCGTGTTTCAAAATCAAATTCTGATCAACATCAAAAAAGAAATCATTTGTCAATTGAATTAAATTTTAGAGTTACTTTTTTTTTTTTTTTTAAGTATTATGACTTTTTTTTTTTTTTTTTTAAAGTTATTATGGGAGGCAGTTTCGAAATTCCAAATCTATTTTCCGGATAATATTATAATATATTTTAAGTACTGAACTATGGCCTTGATCTATAAATTTTAGGTTAGCTGAAGCATAAGATATGTGAATATTATTTATGTATTTAGACTAAATAAACCATTAGGTTTTTTTTTTTTTTTTAAGTATTATGGGAGGCAGTTTCGAATCCAAATCTATTTCCGGATAATATATATATATTTAGTACTGAACTATGCCTTGATCTATAAATTTTAGAGTTAGCTGAAGCATAAGATATGTGAATATTATTAATTATTTAGACTAAATAAACATTAGATGCTTAGTCCAAGAGAATGCAAACAAACAATATGTAACTTAAAAGTCTTTAAACATTATACAATTTGCATTATAACTTCACTTAGTCTAAAGCTATAAGCAGTTTCTTTCTTTCTCTTTCTTTTTTTTTAAACCATCTGGTATGCGAGTGTTTAAAAATGATTTTATATTTTATAATCGAATTCGAAGTCTTCAATTAAAAAGAGAGAGCGCATTTCTATTGTCTCTGTCATTTCATCTTACCTTTTAAAACAAAACTATATAAAATTTTCATTCATATAGAAAGAAAAAATTTTGTGTTATATACATGAAGTTTCTATCTAGATTTTTGGAAAGATTTACTTACACTTGTGTACGATCTATAAATTTAATAATGATAATTTGATG